GTCCTGCGGCCCCGCCACGTGGTCCGTGTGCGACGGGCGCCTGCCGTGTTGAATACGGCGTGGGTTTTGAGTCGGGGGAATCTGGGTTCGGACCCTGGCTCTTCGAGTTAGGAGCTTGACTCCCGACGGCAGCCTTTCCCTTCTGCAAAAGCCCCGTGTTGTGGGGGAGCAGACCGAGGCTCAGAGGCGTTAGGGAACCTGCCCAGGGTCACACAGCAGGGAGGGTTGATGGGGGCGTCTTGGTTATGTATTTTAAAATGATCTTTTTTATTAGCCGGGCGTGGTGGCGCACGCCTGTAGTTCTGGCTACTTGGAAGGCTGAGGCGGAAGGATCGCCGGAGCCCAGCAGGTCGAGGCTGCAGTGACCGGGAGCGGCCAACTGCACTCTAGTCTGGGTGACGGAGTGAGACTCCAACTCAAAAAAAAGAAAAAAAAAATCTTTTTCAGCTGGTGGTGGTGGCTCATGCCTGTCATACCAACATTTTGGGAGACCGAGGCGGGGGGATCACTTGAGACCTAGAATTTGAGAGTAAATAGACTCATTGTTATTTTTTGCTTAAATTCATTTGAAAGGAAACTATGCCTTTATTAAGATTAGAGACCTTGGCTAGGCTCGGTGGTTCATGCCTATCATCCCAGCACTTTGGGAGGCCGAGGCAAGAGGGTTGCCTGAGCCTGTGAGTTCAAGACTAGCCTTGGCAACTTGTAAGACCTCGTCTCTACAGTAAGTCAAAAACTTAGCTGGGTATAGTGGTGCGCACCTGTAGTTCCGGCTGTTTGGAAGGCTGAGGTGAAAGGATCGCCTGAGCCCAGCTAGTCGAGGTTGCGGTGGCCGTGAGCGTGCCACTGCCCTCCAGCCTGGGTGGCAAAGTGAGACTCCCACTCAAAAATAATACTAATAATAATCTTTTTCTTTTACATCTACTGACATCTTTGCTGACAAAACAATATGCCTGTGATTTACTTAAAAATCTCTGAGCTCATTGATATTTACCCAAAGGCGTTGAAAACTTAGGTCCACGCAGACACCTGCACATGAAGTTTAAGGCAGCTTTATTCGTGATTGCCAAAACTTGGAAGCAACTCAGAAGTCCTTCTGGTGAATGATTGAATGCACCAGAGCACATCCGTACAATGGAATATTACTCAGCTAAAAAGAAATGTGTCATGGAAAGACATGGAAGAAACATGCGTGCAAATTACTGAGAGAAGCCAGTCTGGCCCGGGCACAGTGGCTCACGCCTGTCATCCCACACTTTGGGAAGCCAAGACAAGAAGGTTGTCCGAGCCCTGGAGTTTGAGACTAGCCTGGGCAACCTGGCAAGACCTTGTCTCTACTATAAGTTAAAAAATTAAGCCTGGCATGGTGGCTTACGCTTATAATCCCAGCACTTTGGGAGGCCAAGGCGAGAGGATTGCCTGAGACCAGGGGTTCGAGACCAGCTTGGGCAACTTGGTAAGACCTCGTCTCTACAATCAATCAAAAAGTTAGCCAGGCATGGTTCCAACTACATGGAAGGCTGAGACAGGAGGATCATCTGAGCCCAGCAGGTCGAGGCTGTGGTGGCCGTGAGCGTGCCACCGCCCTCCAGCCTGGGTGACACAGTGAGATTCCAACTTAAAAAAAAAAAAAATCAAATAATTAGCCAAGTATGGTGATGCACTCCTGTAGTCCCAGTTACCCAGGATGCTGAGGCAGAAGGATCACCCGAACCCAGGAAGTGAAGGCTGAGTGAGCCGTGATCAAGTCACTACACTCCAGCCTGGGTGACGGAGTGAAGCCCTGACTCAGAAAGAAAGAAGCCAATCTGAAGAGGCTACATGCTGTGTGATTCCCACTCAGTGACATTCTAGAAAAGGCAAAGCTATGGAGACAGTAAAAAGATCAGTGGTTGCCCCGGATGGGGGGGTCAGAGGTGGAAGGGGAGGGGAGGAGGAACAGACAGAGCACAGAGGGTTTTTAGGCTGTGCAACATTTCTGTGTGATAATATAATAAAAGATGTGTGTTGCCATGTCTTTGCCCAAATCCACAGAATGCACAGCAGCAAGAGTGAACCCGTGTGTCAGCCACAGAGTTTGGGTGATAATGATGTGTCAGTGCAGCTTACCAATTAACAAATGCACTACGCATCTCCGAGTTGGGCCAGAGGCCATCCCGATGGCAAGATAGACCATGAGTTGATGATACCTGTGGACCCTGGGGACAGATCGGTGAGAGGTCACCATTCTGTTCCCTTTACTTTGTATGCTGGACCTTTTCCAGAATAAAACTTGGGTGTCAGTAGGCAGGGAAGTCTTTACAAAAGCGGTGGGACTTGGTCCATTCTGCCAAGATAAAACCACCTCTTGAGTGCTGTGTTCAGTACAGACTCACACTCCAAGAGACAAAGATTCACAGTGGAGGACGGCGGAGGGAACCAGGTGCTGAGCGGGCGGGGCCTTGAAGGGTGAGTGAAGGAGGCAGGATGGAAAGACAAAGTCACAGGTGCCAGGCAGCCCCGTGGGAGAAGAGGACACATCAGTTCCCTGTGGACCCAGGGCAAAGCCAAGACCACAGGCGAGAGTTACCGGGAAGCAGATTGGGTGCAGAAACTTGCTAACTGAGCTTTCAACAGTGGGATGACCCAAAAGAGGTACTGAGTTCCCCGTCACTGGAACATTCCAGCAGAGGCTTTAGTGGATGGCTTAGTGAATAAATATCGTTGGCGGTGACTAAGTCAATAATAAATACAAAACAGACCCTGAAAAGTGATCAGAGAGGCCCCAAGCTTTCCTTTTCCAGTTCGGCACTGAATTGGGTGAGGAGTTCTTACCAATGCCCCTAATAGCCATGCCACCCAAGGGCCGTCTGCAGTCCACGCAGGTCTTTGACCAAAAGAAGACAGCCACAGCTGTGGCGGACTGCGAACACGGCAACGGCCTTATCAAGGTGAGCAGGTGGCCCCTGGAGATGATCGAGCCACGCACGCTGCAGTGCAAGCTACTGGAACCAGTTCTGCTTCTGGGCAAAGAGCGGTTTGCTGGCGTGGACATTCATGTCCATGTGAAGGGTGGCAGTCATGTGGTCCAGATTGATGCTATCTGCCTGTCCATCTCCAAAGCCCTGGTGGCCGATTACCAAAAATACGTGGATGACGCTTCCATGAAGGAGATCAGTGTGACCAGACACTGCTAGTAACTGACCCTCATCACTGTGAATCCAAGAAATTTGGAGGCCCTGGTCCTATGCTCTCTACCAGATATCCTACGGATAAGCCCATCACAAGGATCAGGGTTCATCTGTGTAATAAACAATGTTTATGGGGAAAAGAAATAAATGAATGCAAAACAAGAGTCCCTGCTTTTAAGAGGACTCACATTCTGATGGGGAGGGGTGGCCATGTACAGAGAGGCAGTTTTTTAAAATAAGCAAATTGTACGGGATATTAGAACCCCATACAACTCATAAAAAAGAAATCATGAGTCGGGAGGGAGAGGTCTTTTTTTTTTGAGTTTGAGTCTCATACTGTTGCCCAGGCTGGAGTGCAGTGGCCGCTCCCGGCCACCGCAGCCTCGACCTGCTGGGCTCCGGCGATTCTTCCACCTCAGCCTTCCAAGTAACTGGAACTACAGGTGTGCGCCACCACACCTGGCTAAATTTTTTATTTATTACAGAGGCAAGGTCTCACTGTGTTGCTTAGGTTGGTCTCGAACCCTTGAGCTCAGGTAATTCTCTCGCCTCCGCCTCCCAAAGTGCTGGGATGACAGGTGAGAGCCGCTAAGCCCTCCCGAGAGATTCTACTTTAAATAGGAGGTGGAGAAAAGCCTCACTGCTGAGACAGGGTTTGCATTGCTTGCATGGAGGCCTGGGGGAATTAGCCCTGGGGATACCTGGTGAAGCAGGGGCCCAGATAATGGCTCTGATGTGCCTGGCGTGTTTTGGGAATCATGAGGAAGCAGGTGGCAGGTGTGGAGGGGACTTAGAGTGTGAGGGGTGGAGTCAGAGAGACAGGAGAGGCGTATTGCCCTTGCACTGTGGGCCACCATGCAGGTGTTGCCTTTTTCTCTAAACGAAATGGGACGCCTTGGGATACTCGGTAAAATGGTGACGTGATCTGAGTTTTAACAGGATCCCCTTAGAAGCCATGCAGAGAGGGAAGGCTAGAGCGAGGGGGAGGTGTTGGGAGTCACCCAGGCGAGAGGAGGACGAAACGGGCAAGTCCTGCCCCTCAAAGGCAGAGCCAGCAGGTGCGCTGAGCCGGCAGGTGCGCTGGTGGCTTGGCCGAGGCGTGTGAGAGCAGGGTTAGTGACAGAGGGGCCGGCCTGAGCAACTAGCAGGACAGAGCTGCCCTCATGGGAGATGGGAGCAGCGTAGGGCAAGCAGGCCCGGGGCATCGGGGGCTCTGGATGTGAGGTGCCCATAGATGCACAAGTGTTTTTGTTTTGTTTTGAGTTGGAGTCTCACTCTGTCGCCCAGACTGGAGTGCAGTGGCCGCTCCAGGCCACCGCAGCCTCGACCTGCTGGCCTCCGGTGACCCTTCTGCCTCAACCTTCCAGTAGCTGGAACTACAGGCGCGTGCTACCACACCCGGCTAATTTTTTTATTTATTGTAGAGATGAGGTCTCGCCAAGTTGCCCAGGCGGGTCTCGAACCCACAGGCTCAGGCACTCGCAAGTGTTAGTGGCAGATGGATGAGTGCAAGCCCAGAGGAGGAGTCCTGGCTGGGGGTGTCAACATGGGAATCCTCAGCTACAGGGGACGTTTAAGTCCGTCTGATGGGATGCCGTCATGGGGGCGTGGCCATAGACAGAGAGCTCAAATCTGAGGGCCAAGCCCCAGGTGGGGTGGAGAGGAGAAACTTGCCAAGAAGGCACCAGCAGGGAGCCGCTGCTCATGGGTGAGCTCTCGGGGTGGGGTGGGGGGATTTATGGTGTGTGAATTACAGCTCGGCTTTTTGTCGCATTTATTTGTTTGTTTATTTTTGAGTCAAGGTCTCACTCTGTCCCACAGGCAGGAGTGCAGTGGGCCTAGACCTCCTGGACTCGAGCAATCATCCACCTCAGCCTTCTAGTACCTGAGACTATAGGTGTGCACTGTCACACCGGGTGAAGTTTTTATTTTTGGTAGAGTTGAGGTCTCGCCGCATTGCCCAGGCTGGGTTTGAACCCCTGGGCTCAAGCAGTCTTCCTGCCTTGGCCCCCCACAATGCTGGAGTTACAGGCCTGAGCCACTGCGCCCAGCCTCAGGCGCTTTCACGTGGCGTGGGAAGCGTCAAAGCTCTAGATGATGTCCTAGTTCTGTCTACTGCGGCATCTCTGTAGGTGCATTGCAAGGTGGTTTAAACCAGATACCAGTAACAGCCGTTGTGCGTCTAGCATTATGAGGGCAGTCTGTGTTTTCCAGGAGTGACGACCACGTCTCCCTTGTTCCCTCAGCCTCCCTGTGGTCGGCTTCTCGAAGGTTCCGTTCCCAGAGCTCTTCGCTTCCACAAAGGTAATGTAAAATGTGGGTCTGGTGACTGTTCACTTGTAGAACCATCTTTCTCAAGTCAGAACTTCCTACTTGGGGGTTCCGAGGATATTTAAATTTCTCTTAACCTTTCAAATTGTATTTTTCACAAACTCTTGAAATAGATTTAGACAAAACTGCAAAAGACCCGAGAGAAAGGAGAAAGCTGTCTTCACTCATTTATTACAGAGAAGCTATGAGTCCTCACTTGAGATCTCCAAACGGGGAGGTAATGTCACATTCTCTAGAAGGAAGCTGTAGAATTTGAAAAAGCACATTCAGTGTTAAAATTTTAGCCGGGCTCGGTGGCTCAGCCTGTAATCCCGCGCCTTGGGAGGCCGAGGTGAGTTAATTGCCTGAGCCCGCGGGTTCGAGACCCACCTGGGCAACTTAGCGAGACCTCATCTCTACAATAAGTCAAAAATTAGCCGACTGTGGTAGCACACGCCTATAGTTCCAACTACTTGGAAGGCTGAGGCGGAAGGATCGCTGGAGCCCAGCAGGTAGAGGCTGCGGTGGCCAGGAGCGGCCATTGCTCTCCAGTCTGGGTGACAGAGTGAGACTCCAACTCAAAAAAAAAAATTTTTTATACAAGAAGGCCGGGCATGGTGGCTTAGCCTGTTGAAAGGCCGAGGCGAGTGGATTGCCTGAGCCCATGGGCTCAAGACCAGCCCAGGAAACTTGGTGAGACCTTGTCTTTACAATCGCAAAACTAGCCTGGCATGGTAGTGTGCACCTGTAGTTCCACTACTTGGAAGGCTGAGGTGGAAGGGTCGCCAGAGCCCAGCAGGTCAACGCTGGGGTGGCCGTGAGCATGCCACTGCCCTCCAGCCTGAGCGACGGAGTGAGACTCGACTCAAAAAATTAAAAAAATGTATACAAGGAAAAATTGATAAGAGGATTATTATACATCGTAGAGCACATTTGACAACATCGTGCTCACTGAGAGGGAACACGGGAGCAATGGAGGGTGGTGGTGCCTGCAGGGACCCCGCGTCCAATCCTAGCCTGGCCCTCGGTGCCCGCGATGTCGGGCCTCTGCTCAGTGGAAGTGGTAGTGGTGTCTGTCCCCGTGGGGCTTGGTGAGAACTAAGAAAATGTGTACATTTGAGGAGCTTGGAGCGGTGCCCAGCATACAGTAGGCACTCAGACATGCTGGCTGCCGCGAATGCAGCGCCAGGGTTCTCAGCAGCAGTAGAGGCAGTAGTCTTTTCTGCTTCTCAGAGAAGATGGAAACTTGAATCTGGTGTGGGAAGGAGTCACAGGTAAGCGTCTGGCTAGATGGGGCTGCTCTTCTGTGTCCCATATGGAAGGACAGAACCTCTCTGCCAGGGCCAGTGTGCCCAGGGGTTTGTGTGTGGGGGTTTTGTTTTTGTTTTGAGTCAGGGTCTTGCTCTGTTGTCCAGGCTGGAGTGCAGTGGCGTGATCATGGCTCACCACAGCCTCCACCTCCTGTGCTCAGGCGATCTTCCTGCCTCAGCCTCCCGGGTAACAGAGATTACAGACATGCGTCACCTCACCCGGCTAATTTTTTAAATTTATTGTTAGAGACAAGGTCTCTCCAAGTTGCCCAAGCTGGTCTCGAACTCCCGGGCTCAAGCGATCCTCCTGCCTCGACTTCCCAAAGTGCTGGGATGATAGCCGTGCACCTCCACACCCAGCCTAGTTTTCCCAGTTTTGTTCTTTTCACCCTGGGCACTGCCAGACCCAGGTGAAGAGACCAAATGTCAGCCGAGTCAGGGTTTCTAGAGGCACCGCCATCCGGCTCCCGTCCCTCGAGGCCACTGCCTGGCCACAAGCCAGAGAGCTCATGCTTCTGGGAGCGCTGAGACAGCAGGCAGGGGAGCAGTCATGCCTTTGGGATCTGTGTGGCCTCCCGCACTGGTGGATGTGACAGGTGGCCCAGTCCTCGTGTGGAGCCTGGCCTGGTCCTCACCATGGGGGTTGGCCCATCTTCCCACAAAGCAACTCTTTCTGTCTTTTCTTTTTCCTTCCTCCCACAGCCCTGGGGTAGAAAGACTGAAAGTTCACGTTCTGGCAACAGCGGCCACAAGCGCTTAAAAACAATCTGAATATTTGGGCTCTGCCCTCTCCTCCCCTCTGTAGATAGCCAGTTAAAAAAAGAAAGACCCCCCTCCGGACCGGGCAGAGTGGCTCACGCCTATCATCCCAGCACTTTGGGAGGCGGAGGTGAGAAAATTGCCTGAGCCACGGGTTCAAGACCAGCCTGTGAAACATGGCAAGACCTCGTCTCTACAATCAATCAAAAGCTGAGCTGGGCATGGTGACACATGCCTGTAGTTCCAGCTACTTGGAAGGCTGAGGCGGAAAGATCGCTGGAAGCCAGCAGATCAAGGCTGCGGTGGCCGTGAGTGTGGCCCTGCACTCCAGCCTGGGTGACAGAGTGAGACTCCAACTCAAAAAAAAAAAAAAAGAAGAAGAAAGACCGCCCTCCTCATTCTGAGTCTGGTCCTCTTCTCACCTTTCTCCCTCCCTTACCGCCCCCACACACACTCCCCAACCCGCCCCCAACCAGGTCAGGCGAGGAGACAATGTCTGGTGCCCTGATGCCTGCCCCAGCTTGGCATCCCTGGGGCGGACAGGGCAGGGAGGCAGGTGGTGACTCCAGGACGGGACAGACGGGGCGAGGCTGCTGCTGCCGGGCTGAGTGCCGAGAGAGTGTCCCGTTCCCCTCCACCCCCGTCCGCTGTTTGCACTGGGAACCCTGTCCCATCTGAGCCCTCCATAGCCCCTCAGGGCAGGTGCGTGTGTTCCTGCTTCTCAAACCAGGTATGAAGCAGGGACAGGCGCCCACCCAGGAGGAGTTAGGGGGCTGAGGAGGCGGCAGGGAGAGTGGCCCGTGGGGCCCCTGGATGCCAGGAGAGGGGCAGAGGGCCACACTCTGCATCACGTTGTGGGGGAGGAGAGGAGAGCACGTCAGCCTGCGCCCTGAGGTCAGCAGGAGCATCCAGTCTGCTTGGGTGGGCACCGGCCCGGGACTGAGAGGCATACCCAGGGGTTTTTTCTGGAGCCATGCCAAGGATTCCTGCCCTGATGGCTGAATGAGTGATTCATGGGAGCCTGGCCTCGGGATCACACCCGAGAGGGGGTATCTGTGCCCAAGAGCCAGCGCGGGTATGGCCTGGGATCCCAGCATCGTGTCAGCAAGCCACATGCACACAGGCCCGCTCAACCACGCCCACTCCCGGCCCACGGGCCCCTGGGAGTGTGCGAGGACAGCCCGCACTGGCCAAGGGTCACAAGCGACGCGACAGTATAGGGCCCCATCCAGCCCCGTCTCTCTGGCACCCCATGACAGCCACTTCCTGGCATCTGGAAGCTGCCTTTCCATGTGTGACATTTGCATGTGACGTGTCTGTGCAGATTTGTTCCTAAAACAACCCTGAGTTCGCCTCCGTGGCTAGAGGTGGTTCTGCCGGACCCCGTGGAGGAGACCCAGCACCACACAGGTACGTGTCCCGAGCCGAGCCAGGGACCACGCCGCCTCCTGCCCGGCCCCTGCAGGGCCACCGGGTGAGGACGCCACATCTCGGGCTCCCAGACACAGCGCGGCGTGAGCGTTCTCACTTGTCCTTGCCGGTTGACACGAACGTTAAGTGCCCACCCCCCACCACTGCCCCGTGAGCGCCCGCCACGCTGCAGGCGGGTGATGGGGCAGGTCTGGCTGGTCTCCCGCTGTCAGAGGGGCATGGCCTCGGGGACAGGTCTCCCAGCAGAAGGACAGCCAGGCAGGGTGATGGACGGAGCCGGCGCCGTTCTGCCGTGGGGGAAGCATGCGGGTATCGGAGTGACGTCAAGCTGATGCGCGTGTTGTTTGAAGGGCCGGCGTGGGCCGCTCTTGCCATGATCCTCGCTTTGCCAGAGAGCTGAAAATCCCGGTCATAGTGGGGAGCCCTCCAGTATCCAGCATACTGTTTCAGAGACTGCAAGAGAAATAGACACACCCGACCTCCGCCCCTGCAGGTGTGGCTTCTGGTCTTGCCTCTCCTGAGGCCTGAGATGTGCTGGGTCCAGCCCCGTGCCCAGCCCTGGGCCAGGCCAGTGGGCTGGCATCCGGCATGTGCTTGTTGAGACCCAGCGGTACCAGGTAGAGGCACCATGACGTGGGTCAGCAGTGATGGCAGAGGCAGGGCTGGGAGCAGGCGTGTGGGTGGGGTGGCCCAGCCTACGGGCCTTGCTCTCATGTCCCTGTTGCAGCTGGCCTTCCTGCCTGGTGCGCACATGCCCCATCTGCCGGCTCCTTACTCATAATGAGCAGGAACATGCGTGGTAGAGGTTTGCGCCCACCCGGGTCGCAGAAATTGAGCCGGGCACAGGGCAAAGTCTAGGGGACGTCCTGTGATCCCAGCTGCTTGGGAGTTGAGGCTAAAGGATCGCCTGGGCCCAGCAGATTGAGGCTGCGGTTACTGTGAGCGTGCCACTATACTCCAGCTGGGCGACAGAGTGAGAGCCCCCGACTCAAAAGAAAAAAGCCCTGCGTGTCAGGGTGCCAGTACCCCTGGGCGCAGCGGACTGACCAGCCGGTGCTCAGGCCCATGGGAAGGCAGGCAGGCCTGGGTCGCCCACGTGAGGTATGCAGGGGTGCCGTGTCACATCTGCCCCAGGCCCCCTCCACCGGAATTCCCGGGCCTGCTGTGGTGACCCCTTCCCACCTCCCACAGAGGTCGTGGGAAAGGTGAACCAGCTGATCGCCGCAGGGCAGTTCGGCCGGCTCTTCGCCGTGGTGCACTTTGCCAGCCACCAGTGGAAGGTGACCGCTGAGGACCTGATCCTCATTGAAAACGAGCTGGACGTCGTGTGCGGAGACAGGATCCGGCTGGAGAAGGTGAGGCCGCCGGCTTCTCGGTCTGTTCAGGGACGTGGCCATCGAGGGTGCTTGCCCACCCCAGGTCCTCACCGTGGGGGTTTCCTCCAATCTCCAGGAGGTCGCCAAAGCCGAGACTTGGAAGTAGGGGAGTGGGCACAGCTGCTGGGTCTGCTGGCTGGGCAGAGCACATGGCGGGAGCACGGCTGGATAAAGCCTGCATCCTTGTCGCTTTGCCTTATGCTCGTGTCGTGTGCCCCGTGGAAAAGTGACCTGAGATACAGTAAAGCCCCAGGTAGGCATGTGATGAGTCTTCAAGCCAGTGACAGGGGAGGAAGCTTTTTTTTTTTTTTTTTTGAGTCAGAGTCTCACTCTTGTCGCCCAGTGTGGAGTGCAATGGCACACTCCCGGCCACCCCAGCCTCGAACTGCTGGGCTCTGGGAATCCCTTCCACCTCAGCCTTGCAAGTAGCCGGAACTACAGGCGCACACCACCATGCCCGGCTAAGGGGGAAGCTTTAAGTGCCCACTGACACCCTGCTCTGAGCCGAGACTGGATGGCCTCTCCTGCTTCTAAGCAGTAAGGCCTGGTGTCAGGCATGTCCTGGGGCCTGGCTACCTTCCCAGCCATGCACAAGAGCCTGGTGTGTCTGCTTACTCAGGCAAGCACTTCTGGCCTTCCGCTGTGATGCTGTTTGCTGGCTGACAGCGGGGGGTAGGTCTGATTTTTGCCTACCCTATAAAATCGTAATGACCCCTGCAACAAACAATTTTCCAGGATTACTTAGTTACCAGCATGGTATGTAAGAGTTCCTTTATTAATGAGAACCCCAGCTGACTGCGATGGCTCACGCCTGTCATCCCAACACTTTGGGAGGCGGAGGCAAGAGGATTGCCTGAGTCTGGGGGTTCGAGACCAGCCTGGGCAACTTGGCGAGACCTCGTCTCTACAATAAATTAAAAAATTAGCTAAGGCTGAGGCGGAAGGATCACTGGAGCCCAGCAGG